TTCAATACTTTTCCTTTATCAATATTTTTACCGGGCTCTTCAGTAAAGCGGTAAAGGTGGCTGAACACTTATAGCTCGCTTGGATTTGAATCCCGGATAAATAGTTGGATTCACGGTTTTTGTGTAACGTAAATGCAAGCCAGCTTCTCTTAGAAAGTCCTCCGCGAACATAACTCCCCTTATACAGGTAATTGTTGTGTGCTTTGATGTAATTCAGTAAGCGAACAAAATTAATCCAATCAATACCGAAAACGGGTTGATTACATGTGGAGTTTTCCACCAGGAACGTAAATGCGAGCAATTTTCTCTTAAAAAGGTTTACAAAGCATCCATTCCCCTTAAGCAGATAGCGTTCGCGTGCTTTTCCGTAATCCAATCCTAATTTTCATACATTTAATAGTAAGTTGACATACACCTTTACAGACAAAATAACAACCTTTTTTAAAGATATTTTTTTATCAACTTGTCTGAATTCTCTCTATCTCTTGAAGGAGTATAAGAATTTCAGCAAATAAAACTGGCCAAAATTTTATAACATGTAACTGATTTTTGATTCAGTTTAGAAGTAACGTGAGCTTTATTGATATTTAAATACTTTTGGCAGATCAATCATCCTCTCTATTTATCTCCTGATAAATCAGACAAAATTGCCTGCATAATAGAAGCACTTTGAAAGAGTTAACAGTTCTTAAGGGTTTTATGCACTCCACAAAAAATGTCAAAATAAAATCTTATTATTCATAAGTATGAAAAGGAAGTAACGATACGATAAAGCGGTTTTACCTATTTTCTAGAAGGGCATTAAATCTAAAATATTAATCTATTCTTATTTGTTATGATTAAAACATTAAATATGGTAAGCTTAAAGAGCGTGCAAAATCGCTGACGTTTTAATCATAGCAAAAGTCAGTACTAAAAAAATTAGCATTAAAATTATGAGACAGATTGAGAAAGAGATGGCCTCTATTTAATTTTCAAGTATATTGGCGTGAGACGAAACCTGCGGTTTTCGTCAAAATGTAGCCAAACTGGTGAGAAGAAGGAAATAATGCGCAGCCAGCGGACTATTCTGAGCAGCGACAATGGACCACCTCAAGAGATCTACAGATAGGCGATTCTCTAAAATGGGGAAAGCATGGATGGTACAACAGTTGTACCAATGCCGGCATCTGAGAAAATCATTCTCCTGGTACAACTGCTGTACCAGCCGGCTTCGAGAGGTTAAGTTTAAAACACTTTCCATTTTCTTAAGATTACAGTAGTAATATAAAGTAATACAACAAAGTGTACAGTAAATACAAAGAATTAATTAATAATGATAGAAAATTCATTTAACTTTTTAATACATTCATTAATCTTACTTCTATTGGTGCAATTTAATGCAAAATTTTGAAAAACATATCCAGTTAATTTACCATTTAATTCATTAGAATTTTGTTCTTACCTAATTAAAATTTTAATTAAGTCTACTCTCGTATTTTTTTTCAAGGAAATAACCAAAAGAGAAAAATATGACAACTTTCAAAAACATAGCATAAAATGAAACATAAATCTGCAGTTGCTTAGATGACTCAAGTTTTTACTGCTATACACAAATCCACTAAACATTTTAGTTAAGATTTGATACTTAATTAATTTCAAATTCCATTAAAAATTATCATATGGCATTATGCTACTAATTTCACTGAAACTTATATTACCAATCTTATGTACCAATCTTAACATATTTCTTAGACTAAAATTCTCTAAATTTTAAATGCATACACAAAAAAGAACAAAAAATAAATTTATACAATAAATTTTAATAAAATTAATGTACAAATTTTCAACTAACTTGGTAATTTATATTTCACTAATATAATACTTAAAAAATTGCTTTCTAATAATTCTGTAAAATTAAATTAAACAAAACAATTAATTATCATCATTTTTATATGACTAAATGTAATATTCTTGAATACCTCTTGAAGAATATGCTTAATAAGAATGAAGGAAAAGTATATGAGGAACATCTCAGTTATTGCCTGTCATATACATTGTAATTCACTGTTGCCAACTGCCTATTCTGCTGCGTGTTCTAATAAAATAAGCAAACAATAATAAAAGAAAACTTATAAAAAGAAATTCATGCAGTATAAATCAAGACTAAAACACAATATATAACTGAAAAGAAACATAAATGCATAATACCTGCTTATCAGAAGAGACATTACAATAACAGGAAGTACAGAAATAATGATTTAGTTAATGACAAAATTAAGAAGGAAATAAACGTTTCTTTAATTTTAATAACAGTATGAAACTAAAGATAAAAATAATCAATAGAGTTGTTAAATAACTAAGGAGATGATGAAATGATAACGGTTTTGTTAAAGAATAATAGCATATGTTGTAGAATATACTGCAGATTCATATTCTTGAGAGATAACTCTTGAGAAAAGTAATAAATATACTCGAGAGAGATGATAAATAAAATGAAGTACAAAAGATATATACATAGGCATTAACAAATATTCAGAAAGGTTAGATCCACTTTAATTGCATCTGCTGAAAAACATAATTGCTTGTGGAAATTTCATTAATTTCAAGTTATTAATGAATTTTAAATAGTAAAAAAAATCATTTTTGTATTCATTTATGATGCTGAAAAACATAATTGCTTGTGAAAATTTCATTAATTTCAAGTTATTAATGAATTTTAAAAAGTAAAAAAAATCATTTTTGTATTCATTTATGATTATACTAAGAAAAAATCAATTTTAAAAACATACAGCAGAAACTACAATAGGAAATATTATCTTATAAACAGAGACTTCATTAATTAAACACACATAATGACAATATAGAAACAGTTCTTAAATACAGTGCAGAAAAAAAAAAAAAAAAAAACCAATATGATTTTTCTGCTTTCTTTAAGAAAAACCCAGCTGAATTAACCAAACTTCTGGTTTTAAAACCCATTCTGCCAGATCAAATAAGATACAATACAGCTATTTTGCACAAAAACAGTTTCAAGAAATCTATACCAGTTAATGCCATATATTCCTGCAACCATATCTCTCTGAAAATCAGTAACCATTTTTTCCAAATCACCACACACTTGTTTCTCAAGCATTTGTCAGGACTAGGCAAACCCATCAGTGGTTTAACCATCTCATTACTGAACATTTTGTGCCCATAGTTACCACAGTGGTATAACCAATATCACATCCCGGGAAGCATATATGAGAAGTTAGGAAAGACAAATAACCAAGCCTTACGCAGCAGTCAAACTAGCAGTCAGTCCAGACTAACCACTAACTGCCACAGCATCCAGGACATTAAAATCAGTTGCCTAAAAGACAGAATATGACCACTATTAAGGCTATTAATCCTTTGCGGCACAGTGTGTCTGGTTTGGACACACCTAAAAATTTCCTTCTGTACACACAGAAAAATTGAATGAAAGAGGATTTATAGGTCACTATAGGCTACTCTGAACCTTCTTTATTTATAGTACTGGCAGCTCAACACAAACCTCTAATTTTAGCCATGTTTAGTTTTAAGACCCTCATTTTGCAAAGAAATCTTCGATTTCTTTTGGGTTAAAGGAATTGTTTGAAAAGAATTTCTATGTATTTTTTGGCTGTATGCTAATTTCCTTTTCTTATTAGTTTTAAATTTTAACCTTGAAATCTGCCTAAAAAACGGAAACCCTAGGTGTGCCAAACTGGTCTCACAATAATCTAGGACACTGAGAGTCGTATTCTTTGTTTCTCCGCATCTCATCGGTCAGTTTATTGACACATGCTCTTCACCTTTTTCGAGCTCTTTCAATCAGTGTGCCACTTTGGGCACACCCACAGAATTAAAACGATAAGTGCTACCTTCACAAAATTTTACTTTACTCCTCCAGGCTTAATTAGATTGCCTACCTTTTTTTTAAATCAAAACTCTGACTTTAAAAAGTAGCGTGCCAGCAAGGGTTAATGTCACATCCTTAAGAATGAGATTTAAACATGAGAAACAAACACCGATGTCAGAAACTTGCAGCAAGGTGAAATATATATAATGCACTTATGTACATTTATCATAGAAAGTAGGGTAAGAGGGTCTGTTTTCAATAAAAATCAAAATTAAACTCATTCTGTAAAAATAAATTAGCAGAGCACATGTTTGGTCAATTGAATGAGAAAATGCAATTTTAGTAAAAAGGAAGCTACGAAGATTTAATTTTACACATAATGAATATATTTATGAAAAGAGGCTATATTTTTGAAAACGTATGAGTCAAGATACACTCAGCTAATAATCAGGCATCCACTTTACAGTGATATCCATAATTAATATCTAAGCCAATACATCATTAATTTATCAACTATGGTTATTTAACATATTCCAAACATGATTACATAAGGGATGTATAAAAGCTATTGAACAACATACCAGTATTTTTATAAATACCATTAACTTTTTGAACATGGCGTGTAATTGTTTCAATGCATGCTTCTTCACTTCCCATTTTCTGATAAAAAAGATGATCTGCCTGAAGATACAACATGCATGTACTTTTTTGAAGATCAATAGCCACATGTCTATCAGTTCTATCTTCAGATACATGTGTTCTCTGATTTGACCCAACCCCATATCTTTCAGAATCTCCATAATGTTCAAAATCGCGATACTGCAAAGCATCACCATCCCTCACATACAATTCAGTTTCAGATTCATTAGAAGAAAAAACTGATCCTGATGTAAGGTACTTTTGTGCATAATAAGATTTTTTCTTTTTATGAAGTAGCTGGAATGTTAATGATAATGGATTCGTAAAGGAACTGTGATTTTTGAGAAGTAAATAATTATTTATTTCTGTTGCAGATGAATGGACAGACTCTGGTGATGTAACCATAAGCTGATGTGAAAAGTATGATCCATGAGATTTTGGTACCAATGAAGGTGATTTGCGTGTGAAATTCCCAAGAGGAAAATGGACGTCAGATAATTTGTATATGACAGAATGAAACGGTCGAGATGATTCCAGAAAATATCTTGATGATGGTTCTATAAAATACTGTTCCAATTTAGTATTCACGACGGCATCTAATAGTCCATCAGACGTTATAACTCCTTCTACTGAAGAATCTTCATCATCTAAAAATAAAAGGGAGGAAAAAACTTATATAAACTCTACAAAAAATTCTTTAAAAAAAGGAGAGCATTTTTCAAAAAAACCACATGCCAAAAAATTAAAAATTTCATACATCACTGATAAATTTATTTCTTAACACACATATATTCCATATATTCCATATAAGTAAGGGAAAAAATACTAAAACATACATAAAATAAAAAGTACTTTAAACAAAATATTTATTGCATAAATGAATTAAATAAACTTTCAGCAACAGAGAATATTAGAAAATATTATTAAGTGTAAAGTACATTTTAAAAGAGAAATCTGTATAGCACCACACATTTATCACATACCTAAATAAAACTGTGCGTTCTGCAGTAAGCATGATTCAAGTTCCTTTTCATAAATACTAATTTACACTAATTTTCAGTATTACAATTTAATCATTTAACTAGACTACTCAATGGTTTTTTTTGTATTTAAGAAGTTTTTAAGGCCTTTTAAAACAACTGCTTAGATTACTGTAGCTCATGCCTGTTTGCTTTACACATTTAAAATTAAATTAGCAGTTATTGATACTATTATTTGGAAAAGGGGGAAAACTTTCTTGCCCCCTTTTTTAAAATAATTTAGCAGTAAAAATAAAACAAAAATTTAATAAAATAAAAGACCAACTTAAAATTTGCTTTGGATGATTGATATTTTTAAGACATCCTAAACATAAAAAAAAAGTTAATGATTTGCCAACTACTTACTGTCAGTAAATTATTATTTCTCTTGGATCAGCTAAGAAAATGGTCAAAATTAAGCACACTTCAGCTCTACTTAGTATGAATCAAACTGTTATGCCACATCTTTTATAAAAATTGGGCAAAACTGAACTATACATTGGTATTGGCTTTACAGAAAGATTACTGTCAATTTCACATCCATGATCACCTTTTTCAAGAATTTTTTTAAATTTTTTTTTTCACTTAATTCTACTTTTGTCATTGTCTTGCTTCCTTTTCATAAAAGCCTTATCATTTGTTTATCATTTCTTTTATCCCTGAAAATGGAACATTTTTTGGATTTTTTGGATACTGCAAGTTACGCAAATCCAAATGATGAAAAAATATTACAGCAAAAATAACTAGCACTGGCAACTCAGGAAAGGTTTTTGTTTTTGCAAGGTAGACTCCTGCCCTCACTACAATGATGTTATAATCTACTAACGAATTAGAAGGCAAAATTTTACCTCCATATGCCAATTCAGTTTTTAAATAATCAAAGATAATCACAAATGAAGTTAAAAAGAATTATTGACGTATAACATCAAAAATTATTCAAGTGATGTATATTCAAAATGCTGAAAATACATTAACTTTGGAAGGAAATATTAAGTAGGAATTTTAATATGAATAAATTTAGTTTAAAATGATATTGCATATACTTTACTTATTTTTGTTACTAGGAAAAACATCTATAAATTTACTTGTTTACAAAATACATACAAGTCTGATCTGTTAATAGCCCAAAGGGCATTAGCCCAGAAGGTCTATTATTTTCACTTTGGCATTTTGCATTGGCTCACCATAAATGTCAGTTCAATTTTCAAATTGTTGCCACCAAATATTAGAGCCCTGTGTAATATTTAAAGAATTTAAATAATGAAAAATCTACTAGTTTCCATGGAATGGTGTTGATACACCTGTGTACCTAGGCTGACACCTTATCCCAAATCAAACATAGTTGAAAGTTTCGAAATTACAATGTAACTTATTTGAGATGTAATAAATTTTTTAATTTAAATCTTGAAAAGATTCACGCACTATAAATTCAAGCCTCAAAGCTGTCTAACTGAATCTATGTTATCAAGATAATTTTGAATGAACAGGTCTCAAGTGGTGAACAAATACCTACAATACACACAAGATACAAATATAAATCTACCTAAATAAAAACAAAAGAATATCGAATAACATGACAAAGTAAATATAAAAATTCAGACTTCCGTGATTGCATTTGGATTGAGAATAGACACTGGCCTTTTTTTATTAGTATTGTTCCTATAATCATAATTATAAATTCTGAGTTACTTAAATTACATAATCGAATGTGATACTGTCAGGCCAGGCGGTCTTCTCGGTGGACTTACACCTAGTTCCGCATGAATTGCATTGTTTCTAACATAGTACGGTGCGTTTGTAATTTGCCACAGAACAACATTCTGGGCAGTTTGCAGTTTTTTATGTAGTTTTGCATGAATATGCCCAGGCTGGACAAGTGCAACACAGCATGGGACAAAAATTGGATTTATAAATGAGTAACTTATTATCTATAGATAGAAGCTGATTCAGGCAATTAAAGGTTTGACCTTACTTTACGAACCAAAACTTCTCAATAATAGAGTGTATATCTGGGGACCATGTAAGAGAATTTGTGAGGATCACCCCAAGATAAGTGACTTGCTTAGTCCAGGGCACTGAAGTTCCATAAAACTGCAGGTTTTGTTCAACTTTTCTCTTCTTAGTGAAGACTATGGCAACTGTTTTTTTTTTACAACACTAACCTGGATTTTCCATTTCAGAAGCCAGGTCTCCAGTGCATGTGTGTAATTTGAAGATGTTTAACTGGGCAAAGAAATGCATTTTGATCAAGGATTGCTGTGTTGTCAGCATACATTGCTAGTGTAGTGTTGGGTGTGGTGGGTATATCATTCACATAAATATTGAAAAGTGTAGGCCCCCTGGAAGATGCCAGCTGAAACCAGATGTTTAGTGGAGTAAGTGTTAGAAAGGTGAAAGGTGAACGAGAAAGTGTCTACCTGTAAGGTAGGATTTAATTATATGCGTAATGTAATCTGGAAAGCCCAGATTGTGGATTTTGTGTATTAGTGAGTCCATCCAGACATGGTCAAAGCTTTGGCTATGACTAGGAATAAACCTCCAGTATACTTCTTGTAGTGAATTCCTTCAGAGATGTGTTCCACCACATGCTACAGTTGATAGGATGTAGACAATAACTTCCGAAATCCAAGCTGTTGTGGGATCAGTATATTCTTTGCTTCCAGATGATCAGGTACTCTTTTGAGAATAACTGCTTCCATAAGCTTACTTATGCAAGGAAGTACACTAATGGGTCTGTATGATCTAGGTTCAGATGCAGATTTCTTTGGTTTGAGAATACAGGTGATTTCAGCTGTTTTCCCCACTCTCGTGGAAAGTATTGCCATCAAAATATAGTGTTGAAAATATTGATCAGCTTAAATATTAACTTGAGTGGTAGCATCTTCATCATTTTGTTGATTTGATCAGTACTGGGGCTCTTGTTGTTTTTTAAATTCTTAACATAGCCAATAACTTTTGACGGTCACACTGGAACAATGTTGTTAGTGACTGGGTTTGTTGTGTAATTGTTATGAAAGTCAGAGATAATCTGTTCTGTTGTTGTGTCATGAATGTTTTTTATGTAAAACTGAGATTCCAGATTTGAAGCTAAGAGTACTGCTATCTCAGTTTCGGTGCAATGGATCCTGTCAGGGGGTCCTTTAAGTGGTGGAATATTATTGCAGCATTTCCTATATCTAGAGCATGCTCTCCAGATGGAATTATCATCCGTAGAAAGCAGACTTAGATAATTAGTCCAGTTTTGTTGTGACTGAAAATCTGTTAAGAGACCTGACGGTATCATTCAATCTACTGAGCAGTTGCTTGTCAGCAGGAAATCTAGTGCAATGTTATTGTCTTCTTGCAGCATTTCATCTTTTAATTAGATATTCGAGTTCCATATTTCTTTTGGGTTTGGAATTTTTGATAATTTTACGGGCATTTCTGTGGTTATGTAATATTTAATCCGTAAGGTCCTTAATCAAACTATCAATGTCACTCTCATTATGTACTGTTGGCAGTGTGTAATGAATATATATGTTGCTTGGGCAAACTTATGCCAATCAGTAAAAATTATTCTTTTGACTGGTGGGATTTAATAACTTATGTCCAGGAGAATTCTGACCAGATTATGGTCAGAAGAGAGCTCATCCAGTGGATCACTGGTATTTCTGAGCAGGGAAGAAATCTATAATTCCTGAAGTACCATATCGTGTTGGAGTTTTTGGAGCTGCTAAATGCAGTCTAGCTGGCTAAATCATAAATTACACGTCTGTTGCTGCTTGAGTTGTAGCAGTTCCACGTGCGATGTCTAGCATTAAAATCACCACCTATGATAATATGGTTTCCAAGTGTGAGTAAAGCATTCAAATCAGATTGTATATTTGTGGGGTTCCGATTTGAGGGAATACAGGTGGAAATAAATGTGTATGTCACAGAAATATTTGTTGTGAGTGCAACTGCTGTGGCCTCAATGGCTAAAAGCTGTGGAATTATAATAGAGTAATGAAAAATGCAGCATTTGATAAGGACTGCTGTAACACCCGCATGATTTCTGTTGTTTGTAGTAGACCTAAAGGACCTATAAACATTGTACAGTCAATAGTCGTTAATTCGGACACCCATAATCCGGAATGATCTATAATCCGGACCTCAAAGCTACAAAATTTCTACACATGCGTAGCATTGACGCATGAGTGTAAGACCTTTACGGCTGTGAATATGTGTGTGCACATGCACAAAATACGTTTACGCATGCACGTTTAATATATAACGGACGGTATAAGCTAAGCTAAAATTATCTAATTCAGTTAATTGCGTTGTTCCTTAATCTTCGAATTGGATCCGGCTTATTATTTTTTGCAGACTCTTAGAGCAAATTTATAAAAGTAAGCTTGAACTTTCGATTATGTCAAATAGAATTTACGATATATATTTACTAATATGCAAAGGATCGCAAAAGTATGTTTCAAAGTCCATTAAACAAAAAGTGGAATTGCTGCAAAAAATGGATAAAGGCATATCCTTTGTTTATCTAACCATTCCGAAATCTGTTATTCACACTGCTCTGTGGTGGGGGGGGACGTTGCGGCGTGCAATGAACTGGAAGTTGATCTGTCAGCACTATCCTTATATTCAGGGCATATGTTTTTATTTTATTTGGCTTATAATTCCTTACTAAATGTAGCATTTCATCTCGATGTACTCCATCTTTGATATGATTTAAATCAAATTCCTCGTCATTATAATTCGCTACCAATAGCGAAGAAAGTGACACAGAGGTTATTGAAAACAAAAAAATTTCGATTGACAAATTAGTCGGTTTTCTCGACACAGCAATTATAGGACTTGAACAGCGGAACTTTGTAACTGAACAAGAAATTATGTCTGTTTATAGAATTAAAGAGAAAGTATTATCACATAAAAAACGAAGATACTTAAACAACTTACATTGAAAGAAATGTTTAATAAAGTAAAGAAATAAACATTAAGCTTTTTTTTTTTTTTTTTTTTTTTTTTTTTTTTGTAAATTTTGATACCTTTTAGATCATAATTGTTCTTTATTTCATAAATTACGGTTTCATATTTTTAATTTTATAATTTCTGCATGCCATCTTACCAGATTTAAACTGATGATCTATAATCCGGAATCGCCGAAGTCCCGACGAGTCCGGATTAACTACTTTTGACTGTAATTGCCTACATAAATAGGTTGATTAGTGCTAAGCTTCTGCTCCTGTATGAACATGATATCGGGAGAGTACTCATTTTTAAAGTCCTACATCTTTTGGGACAGTCCATTAGCATTCCATGTAATGATACTCAAATTATTTTCCAAATTAGTCATGATTATTATTTACATTGGAACTGAAAATATCCTCAAAAACTGAGAAAAGTACAAACAGTTTATCAACTGTATTTTCCGTCACCTGTAACTCAGGTAGACGAGAAGCAATTTTTCTAATTATTTGTAACAGTGAAATACCATTAAACATGCATTTTATAATTCAACAGAACAATTTTTGAACATCTTTAAATATCACTAATAATGGCCCAAACATAGACTCATTATGCTTAGAACTATTTTTAGCACTAATAGTATTTTTAACAATATGATTATTCTCATTCAGAACATTTTTGGTTGGAACATTAGTAAGCACTTGATTTTTTTACAGCATTAGCATAAGATAGTCCAGGGATCATTTTAGAAGTATTTACATTAACATTTACTTTAGGTTTTTACATTACTAGGATTACTAGATTACTTAGGTTTTTACATTACTAGGATTACCTGAACATTACTAGGATTGTTAGGCACATTTCTTGAAGGAAATTTCAGGCATCACAATAGTTGGCTGTATGTCCTACCTGACCACATTTGCAACACTTTACTGTATCCAGACACTTGGCTGTACAATTTTTCATTTTATGCTATCCAGTGGATTTAATGCATCTACGTTTGAGCTTACAGACTTCAGAATAGTGGTTAAAGTGCTGACAATTGTGGCACTGTAGAATCTACATAATCTACATAATGTATATATGTTTCTTGTATTGTGATAAAACAATAGTACCCAGAGCCATCAAATTTTGAATAATGTAATCTTGCACTGAATATGGGCATCTGGAAGCCCGAATTTGAAATTTGTTTTATTATTAGTTTCAAATTTTATAACACCTTTAATGAATTTTTGATTAACAAACTCAACAATTTCAAAGTGAGCAATGGCACTTCTGTATGGGGGGGGACATTTTTATTTTCTGTGTACACAACTGTGTATCAGGAATTCTAAAGATAATAAAATTTAACTTTAAAATTATTTTTGAACTGAATTATGTGGTTTAAGTGCAAAGAACATGATATTTAATAAATAAAGGCAGCACACAAAACATTGAAAAAAAAAAAAAGAAAAAAAAAAGCCATTTTGGGTGTAATGTAAAATCTGAAGGCCTTCAGATGTTCTTTTTTGTATGTAATTTTAATCGTAATCATTGTAAGTTTTAACTATAATTGTGGCACTACAACTTCCACTTTATTCTTAAGTTCATCCTTGTAGTTGCCTGTTCACTCAGTTTAAACTTAGTAAAAATCTACTGAATAAATAAGTGTTTTTATCCTATGCATCTAAACTACTACTTGCTACACTAGTTTACCACCATATTTTACATGATCTAAGAGTTAAACCTCATGTTACTGTTTCTTTTGTTCACAGATACATATTGATGCTCACAAGAGATCAGATCTTATTCCATGCATTTTTTATATGTGGGGAGGGGCATCTAAAAGCCACAGTGAATGAGATTAAAATTCAAATTAAATGAGATTAAATTCCATCACAAAGGACACGCCGCAAAGGCATGTTAGCAAATTTCCATGAATATGATTCTCAAAATGCTCCAAAAATGAGGACCCCTTACACAGTAATTGTGTATATTTGTTCTCCTGTAGATCTAAATATACACAACATCCTTTATCAATAAAAACTTATAAATTACACTCAAGTAGCCCATAGCTTCAGCATCTTGTTATTACAACTTACTCTTCATGCATGTATAAAGATAAACAGCTTAAAATTTTCGTAAAGTAGTTGTATTGCTTCTTTTGTTTTTCCCCTGCAAAAACTCTATTACATTTTTAAAAATGTACTTCAAGTTTTGAGAAATATACATAAGTCATTAGAATTAATGGCATGTAAAACAACTTATAATTGCAATTTCATAGTTCCTTTATGGCTACAATATATTACAGTACAAAATCCGAAATCTGGACTCGTTGGGACTTCAGCAATTTTAGATTTGGGATTTTTCAGGATAATTAGATCATCAGTTTAAATCCTGTAAGATGGCATACAGAAATTATAAAATTAAAAATATGAAATCATGATTTATGAAATAATGAAGTATTTATGATCTAAAGGGTATCAAAATTTACAAAAATAAAAAGCTTAATGTTTATTTGTTTACCTTATTAAACATTGCTTTCAATGTAAGTTGTTTAAGTTGCTTCATTTTTTTTGGGCTAATACTTTCTCTTTAATTCTGTAGACAGACATAATCTCTTGTTGAATTACATTGCTAAGTCCTGGAACTGCTGTTTCGAGAATTCATATTAACTTGTCAATCGAAATATTCTTGTTTTCAGTAACCTCTCTCTATCATTTTCTTCACTATAGGTAGTGGTATTTTCTGGATCTAGAACCACACTACAGATTTTGCTATTCATTAATTGATTGAGGATTGACAAGCATTGTCATCACAATGAAAAATTTCTTTTATATCATCTTCATTTGTTACCACTTCTCCACATTTCTTTACAAAATCCGTTAATTGGAAAATTTCACCACTGTTTTGCGATATCCAAATATTTAAAATTCGTGGTATCATCATCAGATTTAGCTATCCTTCCCTACACATATTTGGCTACGAATCATGAGCTCGGCGGCTAATGACAAGTTGTTCCATTAAATTTTATCTTGCTTCTATTGCGGAGACAATTAAGACTGAATTGTATTAGTTTAGTTAATTATTACACTTATGTCTATTTCTTGCACATGCTTAAGGCTTATCAGAGTTCTGAATAAATAAATTCTCACATATACTTAAGCTTTATTGAGGGCTGGTGCTAGATATAATACCGCCTGATGCTGTCTCTGTGGGTTCTAAATTCTGCGACTCGGTGTGGCCATACGAGCCCTGGCTCTTATTCTGGGTTTATGTGGATAATAAATCAGTTATTCTTAATTCAAATAGCCCTAAATGTAATCAAATAGCCCTAAATGTAGCATATGAAAAGAAATTTTTCCTTGTCAACACGTTTTAGCGCATTTAACTTAAATCTGTAATCATCACCAAGCGTAATGTCAACATAAAAGGTCCTTTATTACTCAATTACTAACATAAAAAAATTGTTTAGGCGTTGCTACATGAGTCATTACTCAAGTTGCCATGTTTTGATAAACATGCAGTGATGACAGGAAAGCATAATAAATAATTATTCGCCAGGTTGGCGTCAGATCAATGATGTATCTATGTGGAAAGTTTCGGTTTGAGATGTGTGCCAAGCAAATATGCAGCAATGGAGCCAAATTACTTACTGATCGTACAAATTTATGCTAAAATGATTGTTTCTTCAATAACAATGTATTTTATTTAGTGTTGAAGTGAAATTAAGAATCGGAACTCTCCAGATGTTTTTTTATGTGCAGAAGGGGGAATCAAATGAGCATGCATAAAAGTTGTTAAAAATCATTGTAGAGAAACATTGTTGGTAGTTTTGAGGTCCGGATTTTAGATCATTCCAGATAACGGACATCCGAATTTTGGACTTTGTACTGTACTTGGAAAATCAGCAGATTATCAATGAAATTTGTATTTATAATACTGACCAGGGCCATAGTAAATTAAAACAATTATTCATAATTTCAATATTTTAATCTGGCATTCATACTACAGTATTTAAAATTGAGACTTAAAGATTCATATTTGAACTTATTTAAATAAAATATCACCCCCAAAATGGTAAAGTTGTACTAGTTTATTGCTACAAAAACAAAAGCTTTAAACAATATCATTATTTTATCATAAGCTCAGTCTATATCAAAATAAAAAATAAGTCAAACTGTTGAAACAAAATAAATGATGCTTTTCCACTTATAGCTTGAAAACTATAAATAATGACAGAAGCAAAGGACAAATTTTAAGATGACTTCAGTATATAGAATAAATCATTTAAATCTCCTAGAGCTGCTCTTTATTCTTTTACATAATTTAATCTAGGAAAATCTTATTTTTTAACACATCAGAATGAACATGTAAATACATATCTTATAGTGACACATATAAAAAATAATAATTCTTAAATGTAATGTTTTCAATAGTGAAATAATTTTTATCTACCATCTAAATGTCCTTTGAATACTTTTCGTACATCATAGTCAAATTTTCCTCTACTAGATGATTCAAATACTACATCAGGTGCAAATATGGAAGTTTCTGTTCTCATTCTCAACTTGAATACCCTAAAAATAAAAATGTATATAACTAAATCAATTAGAATTTATCACATTAAAATTTTAGATTTATGACCTAAATTCAGTATTAATATCATGAAACCACCTCCCATTAAAAGCAACTGGAGCTAAGGGAGCAACAGGAGAAAGGTTCCCATTTTACCTAGGGAAGACCTTATAACAGAAGAAAGGTCAGTGATGGTAAAAAAAAAAAAAAAAAAAAAAAAAAACCACTAGATCATTTACAAGCTTATTTTGAAATTAAACATTCAAGAGCATTAAATGTTCTTGTTCATTAATTTAATTCATAACAGCACAATAAAACAGAGTCACACTTGTCATCAAATTATAAACCTCTTTACATATTTAATTTGTTTCTGAGTTATATTACCCCTAACAAATTTCTCATTATGGAAAAACCAAATAAACTGGTGTGCGAAACTTAAGCAATATTTGTTCTTTTTGCCATAACTACATGATAAATCTTCTGAGAGACATGAAATTTAGAAATGAGAGACAACATTTTGTATCCAAATAATGATGAAAGCATAATTGTGCAAAAATGAATACAATGTATACAGTATGGAATCAAAAAAAAAAAAAAAAAAAAAAAAAAAAAAAAGCTTTATTAAACTCATAGTATCATTACACATGATTTACAAGAGGAAGAACAACAAACAGATGATCCTTAGTATGGGATATGCCTTCCCCTTACTGCAATAATTGCTTTGTACCATCTCTCCATACTCAGCACCAGATTGTCCAACAGGTCTTGAGGTAAGAGTGTCTATTGCTCAATCAGCATGTTTCAGTTGTTAAGTCAGGCCAATCTATTCAAGTGATATCTTCACTTTCCAGTAACTTCAGAACAGCAGGAGTCCAGTGTGGCCATGCATTGCCATCCATAAAAATGAATTCTGTTCCAATGGCATCTCAGAACAGATGCATATGAAGAAGGATCACCTCCTGACAATAGCGATCTCCGGTTACAGAACCTCTGTTGAAAATGTAGAGCTCTGTCCGTCCATTCAGCATAATGAATCCCCAAATGAGAACTCCAGGACCACCATAAAAGTCTCCTTTTGTGATGTTACTCTGGGATGAAACTGTATTCAAACCTCTCTCCAAATCAACTGGCACTGAGAATCGCTTGTGGCACTAAAATGACTCTCATCTATACAGAGGACATGACTTCATTGATGAGATGTCTAGTTTTTATGCTCTTTACACCACTCTAAATGATGATGCCGATGGCCAACTTTTAAAGGGAGGCAGCGTTCACAAAGGTGGTGGGTGAACAGGCCACTTTTGTGAAGGCATCTGGACACAGTAAACTATGACACTTGTCGCCCCATTGCTGTATACAGTTGCTGATCTGACTGGTTTCGGGCTCTTTTTACTTGCAGAATGATATATCGGTCATCCACTGCAGTTGTTTTCCTGGAGCGGTCACCACCAAATTTTTTAACAGCTGTACCTATGGTTTAGAAGGTTTTCCACGTGTGCAAAATGATACTTTTGTTGATTCCGAACTCTTCAGCTAAACTGGTCACATTAAGCCCCTCCTCCAGCTTTCTGATCATTCTTCTTCCACGTGTGAAATCATCCAGGTGATTTCTTCTAGCCATACTTCACAAAAGAACTCACTTGCACTTGCAACTTCTTTAATTGCATCCCTGTCTTTCCTTTTAGTGTAGTCTTGAGTTGAGTGTGCCAACCACACGTGCTTTCCGTATGCTCACGTCGCCTGTGACGTTTTGTTTATGACATTAGCACACGTACAACCTTTCTACTGAATTGCATGTTCATTGCACTGATTGCAAGAACCCCTTTTCTGCAATTTATGGCTATCTGATTAAAATTTACATAGTTTCTTAAGTTTTGCAAATAAGAGTTAAAAAAATTACAATAGTAGTGAAACTTCATTCAATCTCTTCTTACAGGAAAATTTTAGTTATTATGAAGAATTACTTTCTGGGGATGGAAATTTAAAAGACTATATACTAAACCATGTAATTTTACCCATATTATTATTTTTTATATGGCATTTTTCAATGGCACTTCTAGATATACACTATCTACCAATAAGTATTTGAATACCTGTGATAGAAAAAAAAACAAAATTTATTCATATTCAACAGTTGGTACAGCCTCTACGAGTAGCAATTACAGCCTCAACCCTCTGGGGCATGCTTTCCACAAGCCCTTGTATGATGGCTACTGGTATTTTCTTCAGCTTGGCTTGGAGAAAGAAATGCAAGTCCCTTCACCGATAGTGGACAGTTGTTGCAGGCGATCCAACTCGTCCCAGAGATTCTCGACAGAGTTCAGGTCTGGGCTTTGGGCCGCTCAGTACATTCAATTAACACCATTGTCACCATACTAGTCAATGACAGACCTTGCAACATGACAGCTGGTAATGTCGTCCTGAAAGTAACATGGGTCTAACTCTTAAAATTGCCACAACATAGGAAGTGCACTGTCATCCAAATGAATGCAGTAGGCCTTTGGCATTGAGTTTACCATAAATTTGAACCAAGGTTTCAGTCCATACTAGGAGAAAAACCTGAAGATCATAATTACACCTTTGCTGAACTTGTATTCTGGCAGGCAGAGTTCTCCAGGCAAATGCCAGACCCAGATTCTATCATCCAAATGGTAGAAGGAGAATCTTTATTCGTTGCTCCACAGAGCCCGTTTCCATTTATCAACAGTTCCCTGTTGATGTTCTTTGCACCACATTAACCGAGCAGCTCCGTTGGACTTCGTGATCAAAGGCTTATGGGCAGCAGCACAACCATAAACACGGAACAAGCTTGTGGATAGTATTCATCGAAATAATACTCCTGGTTGCCTGTTGAAACACATGGAATATGTGGGCCCTCAGCTGGGTGCGGTTCTTCCGAATTCCTCTGAATAGCACCGATCGCTCCCTATCTCCCAGTTTCCTGGGTCTGCCGACTCGGAGCACATTCTGACAATCACTGCTCACCTTCCACTTCTGAATCTTACAGGCCACTGCCAAATTTGAGTGATTCAGCTAGCTACATATGGGCCTTAAGGATCGGCCATTTTTGCAAAACCTGATGATTACACCTTTCTTGAAATCAGATAACTCTGGAGTTTGTGGTATCTTGCTTGCAACAAAAACTATTCTTGTTTCCTATGCAAAATTTAATGGTAGAGGTTGTGACATATATCAAGACCACAGATATAGTATTGGTGTCCAAATACTTATTGGTAGATAGTGTATATGCTGTATATGCCTACCAGTAGCCAAGAAGTAAAAGTACATGAATGCTGGTAAATCAACCCAGGTTCAAATGTCCAGCTAACAGCTAGGCTGCATGGGTGCTTTCATGATTTTCTCCAAGCGTAATGTGAAGATGAACCAGTTCCACTCAGAAAGCCCTCTATGAAGGCATCTAATTCATTAGGTAGATAGCCCTAGTGTGCTTTGCTGTAATCTAGATAATGTGCATTCCAGTGCAGATATTCATCTTGGCAAATGCTTATGCATTAGATGCATATTTTCAAGCAATTAATAATAATTTCTTACAACAGTAGTTTCTTACTAGCTAGGATGTGCAGAATTTTTAAAATAAATTTTGCCCATTCTTGTAAGTATAACAAAATATCTTGAATAATTAATAAAAGAATGTGAAAAAAGCATAATAATCTTTTATGATTATCTTTAATACTACTCGCACAGGTTTTCAAAACTGTAAATTTAAATAAGCTTTATCATTCATATCATGTAGAGCATGCAACAACAAATTTCATACTAATACAGTTCATTATTTTTTCAGGACAGTTAAAGAAACATATTCTTCCTTACAGCATCCAGTTCTAAAATGGTTACACTAATTTAGGTAACTGTTTATGGAAATGATCAGGCCTTAGTTTAACCCTTTCAGAACGGGCGTCCCATATATGCATTCCCTAAGAACATCTCTTACAGCCGGGCGTCCCATCCACGCATCGCTAGGGATTGCATTCAGAGGACGGGTGATGCGTAAACGCATTTTAAGCTGGAACGTTTTTCTGAAAGCCACTAGACGGCATCCTATGTCCATTACTTTTGAAATGAACACAGTTTTAGCTTCCTGACCTTGAGTTTGATATATTCCTGACCTTGAGCTTGACTTTGGTATCTTACTCATCAGCTCTTGCGAGGTGGGGAGGAGGGAAAGCATAAAAAGAAGTGAGCTCTTTAAACCGCTGCGTGCTAATGAAAACATTGGCGTGTTTGATTTATATCCAATTTCTTTTTTTATTCTATTTTTTCCCTTGCTATGTACGATCTTTTAGGGTTAGTATGTGGAGTATTGTTACGTTTTGCATTGCCTTCAGTTATATTTCCATTTCTTCTCTTTTTATTTTGGAAAGCCTCACCTACAGTCTATTATGGCGGGAAGGCACTATTTATCAGAGGAAGAATAGCCTCGTATGGTCAATGCATTTATTAACGCAGATGAGAGTGATGATTCATTTTCTAAAGAGTTAGAAAGTGACACTTTTTCTAAGAGTTAGAAAGTGATACTACTCCATAGTGATACTTCGAGATTTACCACAGTCTTCATTTTAAATGTTGTTATTTCTTACTGTAAATAGTCTTTATTGTGTTGTTTTATTAATTTTAAACTTTATTGAGGAATTTTATCAATTAAAACTTTGGAATAATTTGAATAGCGCTTCCGAAAATTATTTTACAAGATAAGCAATTTTTTAAGTATATTTTCATGTAAAACAAAGAAAAAAACAATATTAAAAGCTAATTTTAACATATATAAAAGCTCAAGTAATAATCTAAAATGATACCAAAAGTTACAATGCTAGAAGCGAAACTTTTTTTTTCTGATTTTTTTAATAAAATTAAGCTTAGCGATACAAAACCTCCGTCTTGTATGGTGACTGCCTTCGATTCTCTTCCGTCCTGCACGAGTGTCTTAAACAAAAGTGCGCCATCACAAAAAGGTTAAGAAGCTATCTTCATGAAAATTCTAATA